CTTTGGAATACTAGCTCAATGCTCTTCCAACTGAGCTACGCGGTCAGGACGGTTCGAGTAAGTGATATTTCGGAACAGTATCTAGTTCCTTCAATACCAATGTGTTCTAGTAATATGAATTTTTTTCTGTGTTGGTGTTGTGTACTCAGGTGAATAATATGTTTGCCATGTTACTCTGAGTGGATATCCACACCGGGCGAGCTTGAAAAATGTGCCCGGCCACGGTAGGATTCGAACCTACGACCTTTGGAATACTAGCCCAATGCTCTTCCAACTGAGCTACGCGGTCAGGACGGTTCGAGTAAGTGATATTTCGGAACAGAATCTAGTTCCTTCGATACCAATGTTTTCTAGTAATATGAATTTTTCCTGTGTTGGTGTAGTGTACTCAGGTGAATATGATATTTGTGGTGTTACTCTGAGTGTATATCCACACCGGGCGAGCTTGAAAAATATGCCCGGCCACGGTGGGATTCGAACCTACGACCTTTGGAATACTAGCCCAATGCTCTTCCAACTGAGCTACGCGGTCAGCATGGTTCGAGTAAGTGATATTTCGGAACAGTATCTAGTTCCTTCAATACCAATGTGTTCTTGTAATATGAATTTTTTTTCTGTGCTGGTGTTGTGTACTCAGGTGAATAATATGTTTTGTGATGTTACTCTGAGTGCTTATCCACACCGGGCGAGCTTGAAAAATATGCCCGGCCACGGTGGGATTCGAACCTACGACTTTGGAGTATTAGCCCAATGCTCTTCCAACTGAGCTACGCGGTCAGGACGGTTCGAGTAAGTGATATTTCGGAACAGTATCTAGTTCCTTCAATACCAATATGTTCTACTAATATGAATTTTTTTTTCCTGTGTTGGTGTTGTGTACTCAGGTGAATAATATGTTTGCGCTGTTACTCTGAGTGCATATCCACACCGGGCGACCTTGAAAAATATGCCCGGCCACGGTAGGATTCGAACCTACGACCTTGGGAATACTAGCCCAATGCTCTTCCAACTGAGCTACGCGGTCAGGACGGTTCGAGTAAGTGATATTTCGGAACAGTATCTAGTTCCTTCAATACCAATATGTTCTACTAATATGAATTTTTTTTCCTGTGTTGGTGTTGTGTACTCAGGTGAATAATATGTTTGCGATGTTACTCTGAGTGCATATCCACACCGGGCGAGCTTGAAAAATATGCCCGGCCACGGTGGGATTCGAACCTACGACCTTTTGAATACTAGCCCAATGCTCTTCCAACTGAGCTACGCGGTCAGCACGGTTCGAGTAAGTGATATTTCGGAACAGTATCTAGTTGCTTCAATACGAATATGTTCTAGTAATATGAATTTTTTTTTTCTGTGTTGGTGTTGTGTACTCAGGTGAATAATATGTTTGCGATGTTACTCTGAGTGCATATCCACACCGGCGAGCTTGAAAAATATGCCCGGCCACGGTGGGATTCGAACCTACGACCTTTGGAATACTAGCCCAATGCTCTTCCACCTGAGCTACGCGGTCAGGACGGTTCGAGTAAGTGATATTTCGGAACAGTATCTAGTTCCTTCTATACCAATGTGTTCTTACTAATATGAATTTTTCTGTGTTGGTGCTGTGTACTCAGGTGAATACACGCCTGCGATGCCACTCCGAGTGCATATCCACACCGGGCGAGCTTGAAAAATATGCCCGGCCACGGTGGGATTCGAACCTACGACCTTTGGAATACTAGCCCAATGCTCTTCCGACTGAGCTACGCGGTCAGGACGGTTCGAGTAAGTGATATTTCGGAACAGTATCTAGTTCCTTCAATACCAATATGTTCTAGTAATATGAATTTTTTTTCTCTGTGTTGGTGTTGTGTACTAAGGTGAATAATATGTTTGCGATGTTACTCTGAGTGCATATCCACACCGGGC